ATCTGTCATAACGCAGACGATAACGTTCACTGACTTCAAATTTTATGATTATTATGAATTGCAGTACAGCAACGAATATCACCAGTCGATGCAGTTATCATTTCACGACTTCAATATTATTATTCTACGAACGGGAACTACGCATTTGAATTCGAATTCACTCGTCGCTAGTCGATGCTATTTATTCTGGTGCGGCTCAACTGAACATATATTTAACAAATTTCACTATTTCGTCAGCATCACAGACCAATTTCTGTCATATTCTACTGTACTCATTTTGACGATTTATTTCCCTGTCATACCCACAAACAATTTATTACTATTTTCACGATATTTTGAATCGCTCATACGAACGTGTTATTTTATCGTTCAGACAGTCATAGCATTAGTACATGTTAATTTTTTGTACGCTCATTAATTTGCTCATATTCGCATGCTAACGTTTCCATTTTAGTCCGCGTCTTTTCTATATTCATGTATTCTTTTGCATAAGTATGACATTTTCATATAATACACTCACGCCTCATGTGACACTGTACTTTATCGAGTGTTGTACAATTTTTTGCCTAGTTATTGTTGACGTTATGCCTTTTCATTGTAAATTATTCGCTTATTAACCTTGAATGTCTTCATATGAGCGTATCTGGGAGTAAATTTCATGTTTGATGACTCGTGACATCGCCACCAGTATTATCACTTAATCTTCAGAATATTAAGATCGACCATTCGATAGATGTTGCACAATACGCAATTACACCAACGATTTTTCAATTTTGTTTGTTAAGTCCAATTCGTGTCATCGCCACAAATAATATTGTGCGATATTATCAACTACAAATCTGAACATTCACGTGACCTTACGAAACAGGCACTTACACCCACAAAGTAAGCATATGCTCTGTTTTTCTAAACGGCGAATTCAGTACAAAAAATGAAAATCAATTTTGCGAAGAATAAGTTCAACCATTCAGAAGATATTGCTAAACACGCACTTACACCACCAAATTTCTATTTCGTTTGTTTCGCGTGACTCATGACATCACCACCAGTATTATCACTTAATCTTCAGAATAATAAGAACGAACATTCAATAGATGTTGCTCAACACGCAATTACACAAACGATTTTTCAATTTTGTTTGTTAAGTCTAATTCGTGTTATCGTCACCATTCATATTATTCAATTTTCACAATTACATTTATGAATATAAACGGGACATTACGATACAGCACTTGCACCAACAAGTTTTCCATTTGCACTGATTTTTCTAACCGGTGAATTCGATACAAATAATAAAAATCAACTTCGCGAAGAATAAGTTCAACCATTCAGAAGATATTGCTAAACACGCACTTACACCACCAAATTTCTATTTCGTTTGTTTCGCGTGACTGGTGACATTGCCACCAGTAATATAACTTAATATTCAGAATAACAAGAATGACTATTCAATAGATGTTGCTCAACAAGCAATTACACCATCAAGTTTACAATTTTGTTTGTTTAGTCTAATTCGTGTGATTGCCACTATTGACAATGTGCGATTTTCACAACTATAACTCTGAACATTCACGTGACCTTACGAATCAGGCACTTACACCAAAAGGTTTCCCGTTTGATTTATTAATTCAAAGTGCTGTATTCGTCACAAATAATATAAATTAATTTTCCGAGGAATAACATCAACCATTCAGAAGATATTGCTAAACACGCACTTACACCACCAAATTTCAATGTCGTTTGTTTCGCGTGACTGGTGACATTGCCACCAGTAATATAAATTAATATTCAGAATAATAAGAACGACCATTCAATAGATGTTGCTCAACACGCAATTACACCACCAATTTTTCAATTTTGTTTGTTTAGTCTAATTCGTGTGATTGCCACTATCATTATTGTGCGATTTTCACAACTATAACTCTGAACATTCACGTGACCTTACGAATCAGGCACTTACACCATAAAGTTTCCCGTTTGATATATTAATTCAAATTGCTGTATTCGTCACAAATAATATAAATTAATTTTCCGAGGAATAACATCAACCATTCAGAAGATATTGCTAGACACGCACTTACACCACCAAATTTCAATGTCGTTTGTTTCGCGTGACTGGTGACATTGCCACCAGTACTATAAATTAATATTCAGAATAACAAGAATGACTATTCAATAGATGTTGCTCAACAAGCAATTGCACCAACGATATTACAATTCTGTTTGTTTAGTCTAATTCGCGTGATCGCCACTATCATTATTGTGCGATTTTCACAACTATAACTCTGAACATTCACGTGACCTTACGAATCAGGCACTTACACCAAAAAGTTTCCCGTTTGATTTATTTATTCAAAGTGCTGTATTCGTCACAAATAATATAAATTAATTTTCCGAGGAATAACATCAACCATTCAGAAGATATTGCTAAACACGCACTTACACCACCAAATTTCAATGTCGTTTGTTTCGCGTGACTGGTGACATTGCCACCAGTAATATAACTTAATATTCAGAATAATAAGAATGACTATTCAATAGATGTTGCTCAACACGCAATTACACCAACGATATTTCAATTTTGTTTGTTAAGTCTAATTCGCGTGATCGCCACTATCATTATTGTGCGATTTTCACAACTATAACTCTGAACATTCACGTGACCTTACGAATCAGGCACTTACACCAAAAGGTTGCCCGTTTGATTTATTAATTCAAAGTGCTGTATTCGTCACAAATAATATAAATTAATTTTCCGAGGAATAACATCAACCATTCAGAAGATATTGCTAAACACGCACTTACACCACCAAATTTCAATGTCGTTTGTTTCGCGTGACTGGTGACATTGCCACCAGTAATATAACTTAATATTCAGAATAATAAGAACGACCATTCAATAGATGTTGCTCAACACGCAATTACACCACCAATTTTTCAATTTTGTTTGTTTAGTCTAATTCGTGTGATTGCCACTATCATTATTGTGCGATTTTCACAACTATAACTCTGAACATTCACGTGACCTTACGAATCAGGCACTTACACCAAGAGGTTTCCCGTTTGATTTAATAATTCAAATTGCTGTATTAGTCACAAATAATATAAAATTAATTTTCCGAGGAATAACATCAACCATTCAGAAGATATTGCTAAACACGCACTTACACCACCAAATTTCTATTTCGTTTGTTTGGCGTGACTGGTGACATTGCCACCAGTAATATAACTTAATATTCAGAATAACAAGAATGACTATTCAATAGATGTTGCTCAACAAGCAATTACACCATCAAGTTTACAATTTTGTTTGTTTAGTCTAATTCGTGTGATTGCCACTATTGACAATGTGCGATTTTCACAACTATAACTCTGAACATTCACGTGACCTTACGAATCAGGCACTTACACCAAAAAGTTTCCCGTTTGATTCATTTATTCAAAGTGCTGTATTCGTCACAAATAATATAAATTAATTTTCCGAGGAATAACATCAACCATTCAGAAGATATTGCTAAACACGCACTTACACAGCCAAATTTCAATTTCGTTTGTTTCGCGTGACTGGTGACATTGCCACCAGTAATATAACTTAATATTCAGAATAATAAGAACGACCATTCAATAGATGTTGCTCAACACGCAATTGCACCAACGATATTTCAATTTTGTTTGTTTAGTCTAATTCGCGTGATTGCCACTATCATTATTGTGCGATTTTCACAACTATAACTCTGAACATTCACGTGACCTTACGAATCAGGCACTTACACCAAAAAGTTTCCCGTTTGATTTATTAATTCAAAGTGCTGTATTCGTCACAAATAATATAAATTAATTTTCCGAGGAATAACATCAACCATTCAGAAGATATTGCTAAACACGCACTTACACAGCCAAATTTCAATTTCGTTTGTTTCGCGTGACTGGTTACATTGCCACCAGTAATATAACTTAATATTCATAATAATAAGAATGGCCATTGAATTGATGTTGCTCAACAAGCAATTGCACCAACGATATTTCAATTTTGTTTGTTTAGTCTAATTCGTGTGATTGCCACTATCATTATTGTGCGATTTTCACAACTATAACTCTGAACATTCACGTGACCTTACGAATCAGGCACTTACACCAAAAGGTTGCCCGTTTGATTTATTAATTCAAAGTGCTGTATTCGTCACAAATAATATAAATTAATTTTCCGAGGAATAACATCAACCATTCAGAAGATATTGCTAAACACGCACTTACACCACCAAATTTCAATGTCGTTTGTTTCGCGTGACTGGTGACATTGCCACCAGTAATATAACTTAATATTCAGAATAATAAGAACGACCATTCAATAGATGTTGCTCAACACGCAATTACACCACCAATTTTTCAATTTTGTTTGTTTAGTCTAATTCGTGTGATTGCCACTATCATTATTGTGCGATTTTCACAACTATAACTCTGAACATTCACGTGACCTTACGAATCAGGCACTTACACCAAAAGCTTTCTCGTTTGATTTATTAATTCAAAGTGCTGTATTCGTCACAAATAATATAAATTAATTTTCCGAGGAATAACATCAACCATTCAGAAGATATTGCTAAACACGCACTTACACCACCAAATTTCTATTTCGTTTGTTTCGCGTGACTCATGACATCGCCACCAGTATTATCACTTAATCTTCAGAATAATAAGAACGACCATTCAATAGATGTTGCTCAACACGCAATTACACAAACGATTTTTCAATTTTGTTTGTTAAGTCTAATTCGTGTTATCGTCACCATTCATATTATTCAATTTTCACAATTACATTTATGAATATAAACGGGACATTACGATACAGCACTTGCACCAACAAGTTTTCCATTTGCACTGATTTTTCTAACCGGTGAATTCGATACAAATAATAAAAATCAACTTCGCGAAGAATAAGTTCAACCATTCAGAAGATATTGCTAAACACGCACTTACACCACCAAATTTCTATTTCGTTTGTTTCGCGTGACTGGTGACATTGTGTGGTGTTTGAATTAACTAATGATTCTTTTGTACTTGTTGAATGCTCGATTTCGAATTCTAAATACAGTACATTCGTTGTGCCTGTGTCTTCTTAATTCAATTGCGTTAATCCTGGGATTCCTAATTCATACTATAATTAGAATACTATATTGGCGTCGCGATGGAGCCTGCAATGGAAAAGTTAGATATTCATTCAACTTCAGAAGCTTTTGAAGATTACTTTGAAAGGTTCGAAATCTGGGCTATGACCAAGGAAGATGATGAGGATGTTAATATTGTGGCACACTTCCTCACATTCATTGGAAAAGAAGCATACAGCTTATTAAGAACTCTGGCTATGCCGGAAAAACCCATTTCGCTTTCTTATACAGCTCTCAAGGATCTACTGCTAGACTATGCTCAGTATACAAATTTCAAATGTCGTAAAGGAGGAAGATTTCGTAAAATGATTCATGAGGATATAAAAAAGTCCACTACATTACTACGTCATCTCAACCTAGTGCATACTCAAGGTTATGCAGACAATTCATTGAATTTGGATGCAGTTCACGAGGATGGGGACAAGTTTGGTCAGTGTTTGTCCTGTTGCAAGTTCCACTCTTCTAATTCATGTAAATTTCATAATTCTAAATGCTTCAAATGTCGTGATATTGGACAAGTTCAGTCAGTTTGTAATGCTAATGTTCATCTTACTGCAATTAATATTAAGTCTTGTAATTCTGATTCTACTGAGTCGAGTATTCATGATGATCATTTATCTTTATCAACGATTTCAAAAGACAGTGCAGAGTCATATGGCAGTTCAGAGTTAAATGAAATCCAGAATTCTTGTGAGACAACATTTCCTAATCAACCGATTTATCAGAATTCTCATGCTATTGTACCAAGTATGACTTTTCCTAATGATTCACATATTTCTAATGAAATTACTTGCAATTCTGAGGAAAATATGTTAAATGAACCTAATCATGATCGAAAACCTGATGTGGTTTGGATAGATGCTGATTTTTCTAACGATCCTACGCTCTGCAACGACAGTCCTGATGAATTTCATGAGAATATTTCAGAAGAATCAAATCCTGATGTCATATCATATATTACCTATCCTCATAATGTATTTGATCTTCGTGAAAAACCTGCCCAATGCGAAGCACGAGTACTAAGTGACCTCGAGTTTTATTATATTTCGGATGATTTCATATCAACTGCTGTTTACTCTTATCACAAAAACAGTTCTAATGTTTACTCTAAACAATGTGAGATATATGTTTTAAATGAAGCCACATTATTCATAACTTGGGAGTATAAAGATCCAACATTATTTCGTGGGGGGGGATAGTGTTGAAAAATCTATGGTTCGAATTCTAGATATTAATGATTTCATTACAAAACCGACATGCTGGTTGTATACAATTCCAGGTGAGTCTGTTCCGATTTCGTTTGTTAATTCCAATACTAATGAGCACTTTCTAGATACTACAAAGTTTTTATCTTATACAATGTCGGACAGACTCAGGATGAACTTAACAAGAAGACGTACAACCGATTACAAACACTTATACTTCTATTTAAGCTGTGGCGGATGTGGTGTTTGAATTAACTAATGATTCTTTTGTACTTGTTGAATGCTCGATTTCGAATTCTAAATACAGTACATTCGTTGTGCCTGTGTCTTCTTAATTCAATTGCGTTAATCCTGGGATTCCTAATTCATACTATAATTAGAATACTATACATTGCCACCAGTAATATAACTTAATATTCAGAATAATAAGAACGACCATTCAATAGATGTTGCTCAACAAGCAATTGCACCAACGATATTTCAATTTTGTTTGTTTAGTCTAATTCGCGTGATCGCCACTAGTGAAAATGTGCGATTTTCACAACTATAACTCTGAACATTCACGTGACCTTACGAATTAGGCACTTACACCAAAAAGTTTCTCGTTTGATTCATTTATTCAAAGTGCTGTATTCGTCACAAATAATATAAATTAATTTTCCGAGGAATAACATCAACCATTCAGAAGATATTGCTAAACACGCACTTACACCACCAAATTTCAATGTCGTTTGTTTCGCGTGACTGGTGACATTGCCACCAGTAATATAACTTAATATTCAGAATAATAAGAACGACCATTCAATAGATGTTGCTCAACACGCAATTGCACCAACGATATTTCAATTTTGTTTGTTCAGTCTAATTCGCGTGATCGCCACTATCATTATTGTGCGATTTTCACAACTATAACTCTGAACATTCACGTGACCTTACGAATCAGGCACTTACACCAAAAAGTTTCCCGTTTGATTTATTAATTCAAAGTGCTGTATTCGTCACAAATAATATAAATTAATTTTCCGAGGAATAACATCAACCATTCAGAAGATATTGCTAAACACGCACTTACACCACCAAATTTCTATTTCGTTTGTTTCGCGTGACTGGTGACATTGCCACCAGTAATATAACTTAATATTCATAATAATAAGAATGGCCATTCAATAGATGTTGCTCAACAAGCATTTGCACCAACGATATTTCAATTTTGTTTGTTTAGTCTAATTCGTGTGATTGCCACTATCATCATTGTACGATTTTCACAACTATAACTCTGAACATTCACGTGACCTTACGAATCAGGCACTTACACCAAAAGGTTTCTCGTTTGATTTATTAATTCAAAGTGCTGTATTCGTCACAAATAATATAAATTAATTTTCCGAGGAATAACATCAACCATTCAGAAGATATTGCTAAACACGCACTTACACCACCAAATTTCTATTTCGTTTGTTTCGCGTGACTCATGACATCGCCACCAGTATTATCACTTAATCTTCAGAATAATAAGAACGACCATTCAATAGATGTTGCTCAACACGCAATTACACAAACGATTTTTCAATTTTGTTTGTTAAGTGTAATTCGTGTTTTCGTCACCATTCATATTATTCAATTTTCACAATTACATTTATGAATATAAACGGGACATTACGATACAGCACTTGCACCAACAAGTTTTCCATTTGCACTGATTTTTCTAAACGGTGAATTCGATACAAATAATAAAAATCAACTTCTCGAAGAATAAGTTCAACCATTCAGAAGATATTGCTAAACACGCACTTACACCACCAAATTTCTATTTCGTTTGTTTCGCGTGACTGGTGACATTGCCACCAGTAATATAACTTAATATTCAGAATAATAAGAACGACCATTCAATAGATGTTGCTCAACAAGCAATTGCACCAACGATATTTCAATTTTGTTTGTTTAGTCTAATTCGCGTGATCGCCACTAGTGAAAATGTGCGATTTTCACAACTATAACTCTGAACATTCACGTGACCTTACGAATTAGGCACTTACACCAAAAAGTTTCCCGTTTGATTCATTTATTCAAAGTGCTGTATTCGTCACAAATAATATAAATTAATTTTCCGAGGAATAACATCAACCATTCAGAAGATATTGCTAAACACGCACTTACACCACCAAATTTCAATGTCGTTTGTTTCGCGTGACTGGTGACATTGCCACCAGTAATATAACTTAATATTCAGAATAATAAGAATGACCATTCAATAGATGTTGCTCAACACGCAATTGCACCAACGATATTTCAATTTTGTTTGTTTAGTCTAATTCGCGTGATTGCCACTATCATTATTGTGCGATTTTCACAACTATAACTCTGAACATTCACGTGACCTTACGAATCAGGCACTTACACCAAAAAGTTTCCCGTTTGATTTATTAATTCAAAGTGCTGTATTCGTCACAAATAATATAAATTAATTTTCCGAGGAATAACATCAACCATTCAGAAGATATTGCTAAACACGCACTTACACCACCAAATTTCTATTTCGTTTGTTTCGCGTGACTGGTGACATTGCCACCAGTACTATAACTTAATATTCAGAATAATAAGAATGACCATTCAATAGATGTTGCTCAACAAGCATTTGCACCAACGATATTTCAATTTTGTTTGTTTAGTCTAATTGGCGTGATCGCCACTATCATTATTGTGCGATTTTCACAACTATAACTCTGAACATTCACGTGACCTTACGAATCAGGCACTTACACCAAAAAGTTTCCCGTTTGATTTATTAATTCAAAGTGCTGTATTCGTCACAAATAATATAAATTAATTTTCCGAGGAATAACATCAACCATTCAGAAGATATTGCTAAACACGCACTTACACCACCAAATTTCAATGTCGTTTGTTTCGCGTGACTGGTGACATTGCCACCAGTAATATAACTTAATATTCAGAATAATAAGAACGACCATTCAATAGATGTTGCTCAACACGCAATTGCACCAACGATATTTCAATTTTGTTTGTTTAGTCTAATTCGCGTGATCGCCACTATCATTATTGTGCGATTTTCACAACTATAACTCTGAACATTCACGTGACCTTACGAATCAGGCACTTACACCAAAAAGTTTCCCGTTTGATTTATTAATTCAAAGTGCTGTATTCGTCACAAATAATATAAATTAATTTTCCGAGGAATAACATCAACCATTCAGAAGATATTGCTAAACACGCACTTACACCACCAAATTTCTATTTCGTTTGTTTCGCGTGACTGGTGACATTGCCACCAGTAATATAACTTAATATTCATAATAATAAGAATGGCCATTGAATTGATGTTGCTCAACAAGCAATTGCACCAACGATATTTCAATTTTGTTTGTTTAGTCTAATTCGCGTGATCGCCACTATCATTATTGTGCGATTTTCACAACTATAACTCTGAACATTCACGTGACCTTACGAATCAGGCACTTACACCATAAAGTTTCCCGTTTGATTTATTAATTCAAAGTGCTGTATTCGTCACAAATAATATAAATTAATTTTCCGAGGAATAACATCAACCATTCAGAAGATATTGCTAAACACGCACTTACACCAGCCAAATTTCAATTTCGTTTGTTTCGCGTGACTGGTGACATTGCCACCAGTAATATAACTTAATATTCAGAATAATAAGAACGACCATTCAATAGATGTTGCTCAACACGCAATTGCACCAACGATATTTCAATTTTGTTTGTTTAGTCTAATTCGCGTGATCGCCACTATCATTATTGTGCGATATTCACAACTATAACTCTGAACATTCACGTGACCTTACGAATCAGGCACTTACACCAAAAAGTTTCCCGTTTGATTTATTAATTCAAAGTGCTGTATTCGTCACAAATAATATAAATTAATTTTCCGAGGAATAACATCAACCATTCAGAAGATATTGCTAAACACGCACTTACACCACCAAATTTCTAATTTCGTTTGTTTCGCGTGACTCATGACATTGCCACCAATATTATCACTTAATCTTCAGAATAATAAGAACGACCATTCAATAGATGTTGCTCAACACGCAATTACACAAACGATTTTTCAATTTTGTTTGTTAGTCTAATTCGTTTTATCGTCACCATTCATTATTATTCAATTTTCACAATTACATTTATGAATATAAACGGGACATTACGATACAGGCACTTGCACCAACAAGTTTTCCATTTGACTGATATTTCTAAACCGGTGAATTCGATACAAATAATAAAAATCAACTTCGCGAAGAATAAGTTCAACCATTCAGAAGATATTGCTAAACACGCACTTACACCACCAAATTTCTATTTCGTTTGTTTCGCGTGACTGGTGACATTGCCACCAGTAATATAACTTAATATTCAGAATAATAAGAACGACCATTCAATAGATGTTGCTCAACAAGCAATTGCACCAACGATATTTCAATTTTGTTTGTTTAGTCTAATTCGCGTGATCGCCACTAGTGAAAATGTGCGATTTTCACAACTATAACTCTGAACATTCACGTGACCTTACGAATTAGGCACTTACACCAAAAAGTTTCCCGTTTGATTCATTTATTCAAAGTGCTGTATTCGTCACAAATAATATAAATTAATTTTCCGAGGAATAACATCAACCATTCAGAAGATATTGCTAAACACGCACTTACACCACCAAATTTCAATGTCGTTTGTTTCGCGTGACTGGTGACATTGCCACCAGTACTATAACTTAATATTCAGAATAATAAGAATGGCCATTCAATAGATGTTGCTCAACACGCAATTGCACCAACGATATTTCAATTTTGTTTGTTTAGTCTAATTCGCGTGATTGCCACTATCATTATTGTGCGATTTTCACAACTATAACTCTGAACATTCACGTGACCTTACGAATCAGGCACTTACACCAAAAAGTTTCCCGTTTGATTTATTAATTCAAAGTGCTGTATTCGTCACAAATAATATAAATTAATTTTCCGAGGAATAACATCAATCATTCAGAAGATATTGCTAAACACGCACTTACACCACCAAATTTCAATTTCGTTTGTTTCGCGTGACTGGTGACATTGCCACCAGTACTATAACTTAATATTCAGAATAATAAGAATGACCATTCAATAGATGTTGCTCAACAAGCATTTGCACCAACGATATTTCAATTTTGTTTGTTTAGTCTAATTCGCGTGATCGCCACTACCATTATTGTGCGATTTTCACAACTATAACTCTGAACATTCACGTGACCTTACGAATCAGGCACTTACACCAAAAAGTTTCTCCGTTTGAT